TAGGATTTGTAAGTGCAGACGTGCAGACTTGCTGTCCTCCCTAAATCTTTGTGCTGTAATTTCGACCTGGGAAGGTTTTGTCTGGGTGTATTGCTGAGAACAATCAGAAGGTGACCTGACCTTCAACTCAGAGCAGAGAACTATGGCTGCTATTGATACCTTCACAGAAGCCCTTGACTGGCTTTTAAAGTGACCATTTTCAAATAAAGACAAAAGGTTCACATGTTGTTCTTTGGGGCATTCTGAAGAGGGGTAACCTCTTAAGATTGTCTCATAGTTACATACCTCTAGCTGTTTGAAACAACCACAATTACTTCCTTTGTTAGTCATTTCTCTTGGGGTCAATTCTCTTGGGGAAAAAAAGAACAAAGAAAAAAAATATATTTAATTGTAATTCTTTGGTGCTCTGAGTAGCACCCAACAGAGTCACTGTTGTTTTGAAAAGTGGATATAAGTTTAGACAGCTGTACAAGAATTTTGCAAAAGGACAATTTGTGTAATGTTATTAATGAGCATGAATTTAAGCATAATACTAAAATAAAAAGGTCTTTAAATTAAAACACACACACACAAAAGGAAGGAAGAGGGGTGAGAAATGAGATGAAGGGGAAGGGGAGGAAGATAGAGAGAGAGGAAAATTGACAGTCAACATCTCCCAATGAATCAAGTGTCATCAACTTTTACAAACAGTTCTTATTGTTGGGAGTGATCAAATGCGGAGATCTACTGAGAGGCTAGATAAGGGCAATAATAAATCAGGCCTTGCATCCAAAGGTGATAAGGTGGTAATAAATTGGGCCTTGCATCTAATTTACGGGTCCTTGCTTCGGGATGGGACTAGATGAAGGTGATAACAAACTGGGCCTTACATCTGAGCTTAGGACCTATATAAGAGACCCTTCCCCCTTATTGAGTTGGCAGTAGCTGCGGACCCCACTCTAGGGGCTCAGTCTCAGCTGCTGTCCCCAGCAATAAACTCTGCTTGCTCAGCCTTTTTGCCTCCTGCCTTCCTTTCTTGCGGCCCGTCACAGAAGTTGGGACAAAACACTTATTAAAAAACAACAACAACAACAACAAAAACTTTTTTTTTATACATACAAGAACTGGGGTATAGGCTAGAGGTAGGGGGGTGGCAGTGAGAGTATTCACCAGAAACAGAGTGGGGGAAGAACATGCAGATCTACTGAAATACATTGCTGAGGGGAGTGGCAGGCTAGACAGGAGAGGTCTGCCTCTATGCTTGGGTCAGCTCCTGGAGCAGGGCTGCTGATAACTTCATAGTGCTGTGCTTTAACCCCTTGTGCCACCAGGGAGCCTGCAAATAGTTCTTCTTTTCTTAGTGTTTATCATTTTAGTCCAGTGAGGTGGGTGATTATTATATTTTCTTTACAAAAAGAAAAAAAAATGTAAGAAACATGGACAACACTGATTAGCTTAAAATAAAAAATAGCCAAATTAGGAATTAAAAATTTTCTTACTCCCTAGGTCCTGCTCTTTCTAACCACTCCCCCCTTATTCCCCAACATGCTTCCTCTGCCCACCCCCCACCCCCAAAAGTTCACAGAGATATGTGCCTTGTTGGGAAAAACATATTTCATGTCAAATGATTTTTTTTTTTAAATTCTGGATCACTTCAATTAAAACAAATCTCTCCCCAAACTTCTCAGAGTTTTCAGTGAGAATAAGCAGTACTGGGCTAAAAGAGGGCTGAAAGAAAAAGGCGGAAAGAAGGGACAGACGCCGTGAGTCTGTTCACCAGGAAGCCAAATTTTATTTCAGAGCTGAGCTTATATGTACATCAGGGGTGGTGTGTCGAGTGCCCATTGGCGGTCAGGCGGGAGAGTCAGGCGGGAGTTTGACGGAAGAGTAGCCGAGAGGAAAAGAACCAATAGGTAGGATGGACTAGGCCCATGGCCATAGATGGCGGTTGGGGTGAGGTCAAGCCCAGTTGGAGGCGTGGGCGGTATTCTTATTAGCCGGGGCCCAAGACTGCAGAGTCAGCCAAACTGTTTTCCTTCATTCCCGCCTCTTGTTTATAGGATTGTGGGCGTATTTCTGGAAGCTTTGGGCTGAACAGGGGCATCATGTGGGGGAGAGAGGGAAAATGAGGGAACGAATGATGGCTAGGACCTGGGGCAGAGATGGGCTAGGTGTTGGTAGCAAGGAGCAAAAAAATCGGGCGCAAAGTTCTAGCTGGGGAGGAGAAAGGTCTAGGAAGGCACCTTGTAACCAGAGGTCGAAGATTGTGTCATCCCACTGCTGAGGGGTCACCGGCAGGGGGTCCGGCAGCAGCCACTCATCTTCCAGAATGCCTTTAAGGAGGGTGGCGACGTCCGCCATATGTGGGATTGTCGACATGTTGGGTCTGAAGAGGTTGATATTGATGATGTTGTCTGAAAAAGAGCTGGTGAAAACTGTTAGCGGTGGCTTGCTGTATGAATTGGCGGGTAAAAACAATGATACGGTTAATGATGCAGGGGCCAGTAGTAATTATAAGTAAAAGAATCAGGAGTGGGCCAACCAGCGCGGATATCAGAGTGGTCAGCCAAGGAGAACTGTTGAATAGAGACGCAAACCAGTTTGTCCCCGCTTCGCGTTTCCTTTTTCGGCGTTCAAGATTTTCCCGAAGTTTGGACATGGAGTCACGGACGACCCATCTCAAGATAGATCAGCCCACAATGTCAACAGGACCAAACATTGCCTTACACATTCCTTCATTCCCATCACCCCCTTGATCACACTCTTCTCCAAGGGCTGCACAGAGTCCCCCATTTTTGAGGAAGAATAAATCAAGGCCACGACGATTTTGTAAAACCATTTCAGACCAGGATGTGAGAGTGAGAGATTTTTCTAAAGCGCTGACAGACTTTTCAATGCGAGCGAGATCCTCATCAATTGCAGCCTGGAGGGAAGTTATGCTGGAGTGTTGGGTGGTCAGAGAAGCGATACCAGTGCTAGCTCCTGCAATACCAAGAGAAAAAAGAGTAGCGATAGTAAGGGCCATAAAAGGTTCTCGCTTGTGAAGGCGAGGTGGGGTATAAAGAAACTGAGTATTTTCATCAACCCCAGAATGATAAAGAATGCGAGGAACAACAATGACGGTGAGGCAATAATTTGCCCAAGAGTTGAAGATTCTTCCTGATAAGTGGGGTGCGGGACCAATTAATGAACAAGCCCACCATGCACCGCCAGCAGGTGTGAGCCATTGAGTGGAATTTGGGGCTGTGACAGAATGAGAGCAGATTGGTAGAGGGGCCGGAGAGCCCACACAGGTCCCTCCGCCACTGACTTGTGTCATGGTGAGACCGGTGGGTTGAGTACCCCACCCCGCACTAGGGGCAGAAGCGTTATAATAGACAGATGTGTTGACACCACTAGCCTCATAAAACGGCGACTTGGGGCTATAGCAGAGCCAACACGAGGAGGTGAGGTTAGGATTGGTTGAGTTAAGGGTAAGGAAGGTGGCTGTAATCATGCGGGGGTCGGGGTTTGAGGTAGGAAGGGTGGTCGGGATGTCACCTTGAACAGGGAGAGAAGGGGTGTCAGTTGCGTTGGCGCGAGTGGGAGGAACAGTGTGGCTTGGGGGGTTAGTTGGCGACGGATTTGGTGGGGGGGATGTAGGACGAGCTGGTGATCAAGGGGGTGATGGGAATGAAGGAATGTGTAAGGCAATGTTTGGTCCTGTTGACATTGTGGGCTGATCTATCTTGAGACGGATTGTGAACAGAAGGCCTGTATCATAGCGGGGCTTATAAAGTCTGAGTCCCCAAGTCCGTCCTTTGACCCATTCTTGTAGGTGGTCGTATTTTTGTCCTTCCTTGGTGAATGAGATAGCGAGTGGGTTACAGTACAGGGATGAGCTGCAAGGGGTGGAGGATATTAGGTTAGGGGAGCACTGGCGGTCACCTTCTGCAATAAAGTTTCTGCGAACAGCGATCCAATCCCATGGGGAGCTGGGTTTCCAATATCCGTCGCCTTTCCAATATTTCGCACCCCCAGGCCTTACAATAATAACTTTCTGGGCCCCCACATTTGGCGATCAAATCTCTGGACCTGCCTCCATGGGGACAGACATAAATTGGGAACTGGTGTAGATAGCAACGCAGCTGTTTACCTCTGCAGCCATGAAAGTCACCTGACCACCCCGGGGGATACGCAGGGGGGCCATTTAAGGAGTCTTGAGATTTAAGTTATCCCGGATCAACGAGGGGAATGTCCCAGCTCTCGAGTCCGGCTACTAAGTCACATGTGTCGGGATATAGGGTGGGAAACCAAGTTCCTGGAGTGGCAGTAGTCTTAAGTTTTCCATGCCACTAGACCAAATTGTGTGACAACTTCACAATTTAATCTTTTCGGGGCATGTGGGTTGGTTAAAACAGAGACAGGGCTCATAATGAGAGAAAGAGTGGAGAGGAAATGTATCAGACCGGGTCGGGGACAGAAGAGGAAAAACAGGAGTGCCAGGAGGGCATTTTACAATTGTAAGTTTGAGAGGGTTTGAGGAGTCAGGGAAAGCTTGAAAGCTAGGAACTGAAGGAGTGGAGGTGGCGGGAGCTGGCTTAAGCCTGGAAATGTGAATCCAAGGGGAAGTCTGGTGGGAAGATAAGGACAGCCGTGAGTCTGTTCACCAGGAAGCCAAATTTTATTTCAGAGCTGAGCTTATATGTACATCAGGGGTGGTGTGTCGAGTCCCATTGGCCGGGCCACGGTCAGGCGGGAGAGTCAGGTGGGAAGTGTGACGTAAGAGTAGCCGAGAGGAAAAGAACCAATAAGTAGGATGGACTAGGCCCATGGCCATAGATGGCGGTGGGGTGAGGTCAAGCCCAGTTGGAGGCGTGGGCGGTATCCTTATCAGCTGGGGCCCAAGACTGCAGAGTCAGCCAAACTGTTTTCCTTCAAGGGCTGACATGTATACTTTCCTTAAACTTCCATGTCTTCTTTAAGGAGTCCTGTGAGGAACGTTTCTAAATGAACACTTCATGAATAATGGGTGTTCTGAAGAAAATAGTTCAGACATCTCCGATTAATTGTATATTATACCAACATATTCCTAAGGGCTCCAAGTCTTCAGAAGCAAAGAAATGCCATTTTAATAATAGAATTTCAGGCTCTCTACTGATTCAGAGTGCATCTCTTTAAGAGGCGGAAGAACATTATAGCATGATGAACTGGAGCCACATTTCCTGCCCCCACTTCCAGGCAGCTGCCTTGTATTACAAGTCTCAGTATGCCATGATGGGGGGAGGTGCTGGAAACCAGAGGTGCAATTAAGCAGCTGTACTTGGTGTGTAATTGAATGCACACGGGCTCACCAGTGCTTGTAAGACTTCGACTTGCATCCAAAGACTTGGGGAGACTTGGAAAGAGGTGGATGGAGGAGGTGGATGGAGGAGAGAGATGCAGAGACACTTGAAAGAGACACCTGGGGTGAGAGACCTGTGGGGAGGCAGACAATGGCAGCTATAATCTTGACATGGTATTGCTTTCTGCCCCAGCTTTTTTGGACCTTCTTCAAAAACACTTTTCCTTTGTTTACCCACAATAAGTTTCCTTATAGTGTGGCAGACTTTCCGAACTCAGTAACCTTGTTTCCTGGGCCAACCCTGTTTGGCTGGGCATTTGCCCATGAAAGGATGGTAATTTGGGTGTTTTATTGGGAAAGTTTTATAAGGATTATCCTGTCTTCTTCTCTCTTTCGATATTCGTTATTTCTATTAAAGATCTGTCATGCAAGTGTCTGCTTCCTTTGTCTGTATGTGGCAGCTGTCAAAATCCTTTCCAATGAGCACCCCTAAAAGTTCGGTGTTCTCTTGGTGTCTTTTGGTCTCATGTTAATATTACCAAAAGTGAGAGATATTTTGGGAATCATCCTGATTTTATTCAAGCTACACATATAAGAATGGGCTCATTGGCTCTCCCTGGTGGCGCATTGGGTTAAAGCACAGCACTAATAAGCTAAAGCCACTTCTCCATGAGTTCGATCCCTGCTGCCCGAGCTGACCCACATGGTGCAACAGACCTCTCCTGACCCTCCCACTGCTCCCCTCAGCAGTGTACTTTGTCGATCTGCCTGTTCTGCTCTCCACTCTGTCTCTGGTGAATCCTCTCACCGCGCCTGCACCTCTGGCCTGTACCCTTATGCACAAATACATCTTTAAAAAAAAAAAAAGGAAAGAATAGGCTCATTTCTCCTAGTCTCAAATTACCCTTGCCACTGAGCATCTTATTCTAAGTAACATTTAAGAATACATTAGAGGGCCCTCCCTGGTGGTGCAACAGGTCCGCAGCTACTGCAGCACAAGTTCCATCCTTGGCTAGGGAGGTGATCCACATGGCACAGCAGACTTCTCCTGACTGGCCTGCTGCTCCCCTCAGGAGTATACATCTCAATCTGCCTGTTCTCTCTCTGTTTCTGGTGAATACTATCACTGCCCCTGCACCTCTGGCCTGTACCCCAGTTCTATATGCATAGGTGAATAAATCTTAAAAAAATAAAAATACGTTATCTAAAAAGCTGGGGAAAGAAATCTTCAGTGCCTTTTCATCACCAAGACCAATTTTATAATTTTACTTTTTTTGTATTTTTTAATTGATAATACACTAGTTCATATCACTGTATATGGTTCAGAGGTATGGAGAGGCGTATGCCCTTTCAGAGGAATCCTACCACCCCATCCCCACTGCCAATGCACCCACAGTCCTCCATCTCAGTGCTTTCATCCTGCTCATTGATTTCCTCCCCACCCCCCTTCTCCCTGCTTTTGCGCCCCATCCTTCCCCTCCCACTCAGGGTTCTTCAGTCTACAGTCAGATCTGGATGGTTTGTTATTGGCTTGGTTCTTTCTGATCTTTGCTTTTGTTTTTCTATGGTCAGTATGACTGAAGATGTGGTATTTGTTTTTCTCCTGTCTTATTCTGTATAGCATTATTTCTTCTAATTCCATTCATGTTGTCATAAATGGCAAGATTTTCTCTCTCTCTCTTTTTAATAACTAAGTAATGGGCCGTCCCTGGTGGCACAGTTAGTTAAAGCGCAGCACTCTGAAGCTATCCCTGCCACTGCAGCATGAGTTCAATCCCCAGTCAGGAAGGTGACCTACAGGGCACAGCAGAACTCTCCTGACCTGCTCACGGCTCTTCTCAGCAGTGTGTTTTCAGTCAATCTATCTGTTGTGCTCCCCACTCTGGTGAATCCTCCCCAGCACCTCTGGCCTGCACCCCAGTTCTTGTATGCATAAATAAATTAAAAAAAATAAGTGAGTAGTAGTCCATTGGGTATATACACATTTTCTTAATCCACTCATCTCTCATTGGGTACTGTTTTTATATATCTTGGCAAGTGTAAATATTAGTTCTAC